CAGGTGGAGCCCACTCCCCCAACATCCCTGCCCCCAGTGCTGGTTGTGACAGGCCTCTCTTGGGTTTCAGGTGTGAAACCGAAGATTTTCATGTAGGAATCAGATGCCTCAAATTTCCTCAAGAGGCGCAGCAAGCGGTCCCCCAAATCCCGAGATGAGGTCAATGGTAAGGATGCTGAGTGGTCTCTTACCACCACAGGGGATTAAGGGTTGCAGCAAAGCCCTTGAACATCAGGATGACTGTAGCTCTGAAGTAGAAATTATAATGTTTCCTTGATGGTGGGTCACATGTTGGGGCAAATGCATTGCTAGGGTGAGGACCAAAAAGAAACAGTGATGCATCAAATGTATCTAACAATTATGAGATGCATCCCTTCTTCAGAAAGTGAAAAATGTAAAGGAGGAAATGTTCTCTGGTCTAGAAAGCACCTAGCACTTTAGTGGATGTTTTGGAGTATTGGCAAGGTGCACAGTATAGCAACAGAATCACATGCAGGAAAAGATCCCAGGGGACAGGAGTGCTGAGAAATGTGGGCTTAGTGACAGCTCTGTTGCTAAGTGGCCTTAGCCACTTCCTGTCTGTGGTCCTAATTCCCACTTATATGCCTCTGAACAAACTGTGTTTAGCCAGCTGTGCTTTCTTGAAGCTTTATTTGCAGTGCAGTTGGTGAGCACGTCTCCCTTAGAGCCTGGGGCCTGGGGTCCACACTGCAGGGCCCTCATGTTCTTGACCTACCGCCTTTGAACGCATTTGAGTTTCCTACCTCTAAACTTGATTCTTCTTAGACTCTAAGCTCAGGCTGTCCTGGCCAAGTTGACTGCTTGATTCTTTCCTTGTGTGTGTAGATGAATGAACTCTTTGTATCCCTGAGCATATGCAGTGAGGTGACTTTCTCAGTGAAAATAACAGGATTATTTTCAAATGATGAGGAAGATCAGAGGTGGAAATGCTTGGAGATGAGAATTTTTTTTTAATTGGATAAGTGTAGTCAGATTAGTGAAATCTCTAGACCTCACACAATTTGGGATTTAAATTTGGCAAAATCAAAAAACACTGAAAGGCTATGATGGATGTTGGGCCATTCTTGTCTGAAATCAGAGAAGCAGCTTTCTGCAAATTTCCAGGGGAAAACAGGCAACTTTAATACAGACCAATATATCTGTCCTCTGAAGCTGACTCAGAAACATAAGATCTGTGATTAGGCTGAATTCCCTGACCTTAGGCAGGAGCTCAGTGCCTCAAGCAGTTGTGAGAGGACAAGGACAGTCAGGTGAACCCCAGGACTGCACGTAAATGCATCTGAGGATACCTCATCGATTTGTATAGATGAATGGGCAGAGCTGACAGAGATCCAGAGGCCCAGGCAGTAAGGTCACAAGTTCTACACCAGCCTGGATGAATTAAGCGAGACCCTTTCTCAAAATAAAGACTAAAAGGACTGGTGATGCAGCTCAGTGGTAGAGGATTCCTCAGTACAAAAAAAAAAAAAAAAAAAAAAAGGAAAGAAAATAAAATGAAAAATAAATAGAGAAATAAACAAACTTCTGGAGAATCCTTCCAGTGCTCCTTAAGTTGGGAATAAGAAAGGTGATATTTTGAAGCAATTTGTATTGGAATCCAAGGAGATGGAAAAGTGACTTCTTTAAGTTTCTGAGATCCAGGCTCAATTTACTTTAGGGTGAAAGAGAATCTGAGGGATGTATGTTCTTGGTAGAAATGCATGTAATGCAGAAGGTGATACCTAGCATAGAAACACCGTCTTAACTGGGCCTGGTGACATAGCCTGCAATTCCTGCCACTCTGGAAGCTGAAGCAGGAGGATTACAAGTTCCAGGCCAGCCTGGGCAATTTAGGGAGATCCTGTTTCAAAATAAAATAAAAAGGGTAGGGATGTAGCTCAGTGGTAGAGCCCCTGCCTAGCATTGTGCCAATCCCTAGTACCTAAAAACAAACAAACAATCAAGAGTTAAATTGTTCTTCTTTGTTGCTACATCTAACACCCTAATGGAGGTGCAGGACTATAATCCTAGTGCTCATGAGACTGAGGCGGAAGACTCGGTTGAGTCCAGGAGTTCGGAATCATCATGGACAATACAGTGAGACTCTGTCTCAGATAGAGGGAGGGAGGGAGAGAGGGAGGAAGAGGAGGAGGAGGAGTAAACGTCCAGTTTTTGGCACCTCTGAAAATGCAACTTGAGGAACCAAGGAACTAGGGGGTACTCTGGGCAAGTACTAAGGAATCTGGTGTTCTAGCTCTAGCCTCAGCTCCACCCCAATAGGCTGTGTAGCTGTGTGACTTCAAAGATGTCAATGCACCTCTCTGAGCCTGGATGCCCTCTTGAGAAATATGTGCTGTATGAAGATGGATTGGATCACAAACCCCTTATGCCAGACTAAGGTTTCCTTCAACTGTATAGGCAAAAAGGCAGGAATCTGGGAGAAACAGAGGACTTACCTAAGGGATTCTAAGACCAATTTACAGATATAGTGATTTTTAATCTGAGTTAAATAGTATAATTTCAACATAAATAACTCATATTTATAGAATTTACTGATAAATGTAGGCTCCTTGGATTTGAGGTGGTTTCTGATGTTACCATTGTGCATAGGAGTACTTGTCATTTCCTGAATGTGGGGTGAGGCAGGGGCCATGGCCTCCCTTGGTTCCTCTGCTTCCCTCACCTCCCCCACCTGCTCTTGCACATCAGAGTTGTGGGGACAACAAGAGCGCCTCAGTCCCCCAGGAGAATGTGAGGTTTCTGAGGGGCCTGTTCTTCCTCCAGCAGACATGACCCTCAAGTCTTTGTTGATTTTTCTAGTTGAAGAATGTGCCAGAAGTCCTTGAAGGTAGAGTTCTAGATACTGTCCTCCCAATAAGTCATGTTCTCCAGAGGACCACAGTTCTCACAGAGTTTAATTTCACAGCCAAAAGCTCAGTGAAACTTGTTGGGGTTTTTTTTTTCTTGGTGCTGGGAATTAAAGTCAGGGCTTTATGCACACTGGAAAGCACTATGCACTGAGCAACACTCCCAGCCCCTGAAACTTGCTTTGAGGGCTCTCTCCTCACCTGGATGACAGCCATTTTAAGTGAAGGACAGCATCTTTCTTACTTACCTTTGTAATTCCAGCATTCAGTCTATATCCTGGTGTGACAGGTGCTCAAAAATGTTGACTAGACTTGAAGGTATTAATCAATATGACATCAACTTTAAATTGGATACGTCCTTTGTGAAGTTTGTTTATTTATTTTTCATTTTCTTTTCTTCTCTTTCCTTTTTTTCTTTCTTTTTCTTTCCTTTTTTTTTTTCTTTAATACTGAGGAGTCCTCTACCACTAAGCTGTATCACCAGTCCTTTTTAGTTTTTATTTTGAGACCGTTAGGTGCAGGGCAGGCTGAACTAAGTTGTCCGCAGGACAGGCTGAACAAATGTTAGCTGCAGGATAACCCATGCACTCAACCCCACATCTAGCCCCTGCCCCACCTCGTCTGCCTGAAGACAGATGACACTACCGTATGACCCAATCTCCCTATGCCAACAAGGCAGCTTGCAGATCCAGAGACCCCATTAGATTTGGGCTATAAAAACCTCCCTCCTGCCGGGCCCCTCTCTCTTGCTCTCTCTGTCTCCTTCTCTTGCTCTTGATCTCTCTTCTCTTGTTTTTGTTCTCCCTCTCCCTCTCTTCTCTCCTCTTCTCTCTTTGCTCTCTCCCCTCTTTCTTCTCTCTTTCCCTACTCTTTCTTTCTCTTTTTCTCCTCCTTTGTACTGCTGCAATAAAGATCTCTTGGTCGCTTCAAGTGTTGTGGTCACTTTCCTTTCAGAGACAAGGTCTCACTAAGTCATCCAGGCTGGTGTAGAACTTGTGATCTTACTGCCTGGGCCTCTGGATCTCTGGGATGACAGATGTGGGTCACCGTACCCGGCTTGTGGAGTTTATCTCTGATTTCAAATGTCTAAGTGGCCTGGTGTACTTGGATTATACCACTAACTTGATGACTGGGGCTAACTCACTTTTTCCTCTTGGGGCTTCAATCTCTTCACCTGCAAAATGAGGTGATTTTGCCTGTCATGATGTGCACATCTGTAATCTCAGTGACTTGGGAGGCTGAGGCTGGAAGATGGCAAATTTGAGGACAGCATGGGCAACTTAGTGAGACCCTGTCTCAAAAACCAAAAACCAAAAAATAAAACAAAACAAAAAAAGGCGGGGCTGGGGATGGAGCTCAGTAGTAGAGTGCTCCTGGGTTCAATCTCTAGTACTGTTCAAAGAGAGGGGATGTGGCAGGGGGTGGGGGGTAACTGGGTAGGATCATCTCCCAGGTCCTTCCAGTTTAAAGCCTCTGCCAGGAATAAACCATTTCAGTGGAGTCTCCCAAGCTAAATACCTCCCAAACCACTTTTAGCTTCTCAGGTAAAATGTTGGTGTTTCCCTAAATGTGAGCCCTCAATGTCCCTCTCTTGGGGGCAACTACCTCTTTTCCTTCCACAGTGGAAAACAGGCAGAAGTTGTGGGCTGATGAGCTACGGAGAGAATATTACGAGGAACAAAGGAATGAATTTGAGAACTTTGTGGAGGAACAGAAGGATGGTAAGGGTTCTTGCTCATCTGCCATTTAAGCCCTGTTTTCTGAGTCTTGACCTTTCATCTCTTGTCAATAGATAAATAGTAGAAAAGGCAAGAGGGCAAGTGACTCTAACCAAGCAATTAATGTACCATGCCCCTGCCCTCAAGGCTCCTTTCTTCCCTCCAGCCTTGCTGGCTGCATCAGGGCTTCAGTAGGGAGTGGGTATGGATGGGGATGAGATAGAGGGAGGCTATATCTCTAAGCCAATGCCTTCTACCAGTGGGATTTGACCTTGCTGTCTAGTGTCATCCACAGCAGACATCTGTAGCAACATTTAATGAGGATCAAACCAGTAGGCCTGATTCTCATTATGTGCTGGTTTCTTTCTTTTTTGGTATTTCTCAAACTTCAAGATAAAAATGGTCCTGAACAAGCTCACTTGGTACCTCCTGGTACATATGAGCTTGAACACAGGACCCCGATTTGGGGTACTTTTGTTGGAGCCAGCTCTTTTGTTTTACCCTGACTCCTTGACTTTGATAGACAGAGGAAGTATGATCCTTTAAGGGCATCCTCCAGTGAAAAGACTCCAGTGAAAAGCCACCAGGACCCAAGGGCTACAGGCTGTGCTTATAGCCCTTCAAGTGGCATCTGGTTGAGCCCAACAAGCAGATCCTGGGCTCAGATCCTAGCAAATCAAACTTTACATTTTTTTTTAGTTGTTGATAGACTTTTATTTTTTAAAAATTTATTTATATGCAGTGCTGAACCCAGTGCCTCACACATGCCAGGCAAGTGCACTACCACTGAGCTCCAGCCCCAGCCCCCAAATCAAACTTTTTTGGGGAAGATACTGTGAAAAACTCAGGCTGTCCTAGCTTAGAGGCCAATGCTTGTTACCTTGGTGGACAGCTTGGGGAGAGCTGTCTTAGTTTTAAGAAATGAAAAATATGATTTTTAGTCATACTACTCATCATAATTTTTTTGTGTGTGATTTTTTAAAAAATTTCAGGTCCAAATCTCTAGCACATGGGTGGAAATAATTTGCTGTTTTCTTTTTCATGATGAATTATGAAGGAGGTCAGGTACCTATAGGATGATGTGTCTTTTTGGAGGATGCTAAGATCAGGGTCCTCAGGCTTCATCCACAGAGATGGAGAGGCCATTTTTAGAAGAGGACACAGGTCTTTGGGAACTGAAGTTATAGAAGCTGTTGGTGCAGAACACTTGTTCTGCCAGGTACTGTGCTGAACCATCTAACTACTACAAGCTTCATCTGAGACAGGACTTGTGAGTTTCATTTTAGAATTTGGAAAACAGGCTTAGAAAGGACACATGAATACCCAAGGTGACATACTAACAGGCTAACTAACGTAACAGGAGCAGTTGAGGATAAAGGTCTGAAAAAGGCGGATCTCTTCTCAAAATTTCTTTCTTTTCCAGAACAACTGTTGCTATGGCCTGGTTGCCTGGGGCCATGTTCAAAATCTCCATCTTTTGGGACCTTCTATGAGGCCCATGACATTCCCCTTTCATAACCCTGTCTTTAGTTAGCTGTCTTATCCAACAAAGCCACATGTTCTAAGAATAATTAATAGCAGTTGAATGTTCAACCTTTTTCAAGGTATTTACTTCATAAAAGGGATAGCCAATCAATTTCTATGGCAAAATCACACTCTCAAAGAGGAGTTGGTCCACTGAGCTTGAGCAATGTCTGAAAGGGCTGAAGGCTAATGAATGAGTTCTAGTCCAGGAGTTCCAGTCTATCTTTGGGGTACCAAGTACCTAAGAATATTTTTCAAGGGGAGCACCATCTCCAGGGTGCCATGAAAGGACCATGGTGCCTCAATGTGCAGTGGTAACAGGGCCCTTCCTCCTTAGTCCAGGCATATGGCTCTCACAGGTGCTAAGGAGCAGAGGGACATCCATTTTGTCCATACCACCAGTTTGTCCTATTAGCCCAAGGCCAAAGAGAATGCCACTTTCATTAGCACCAGAATCAAGTTCATAAACTTGATTCTGGTGCTAATGAAAGTTCACATTTGAGACAATAGAGGCAAGGAAGACATTTAAAATTTTTAAACCTCGACATCATCTTCTGTCAGTATTTCCATCCTCCCAATATTTTTCACAAATTCTTTTCTTAAAAACAAAAACAAAAACAAAACAAACAATTAGCATGGTGGCACATGTCTATAATCCCAGTGGCTCCAGAGGCTGAGGCAGGAGGATCACATGTTCAAAGCTAGCCTCAGCAATTTAGCAAGGCCCTGTCTCAAAGGAAATGTAAAAAAGGATGGGGATGTGGCTCAGTGGTTAAATGCCCTGGGTTCAATCCCCAGTACCGAAAACAAACAAACAAAAAACCCCAAACAACCTTGTGGTAAAATAGAGATAAGGGAAAATTTGCCATTTAAACCATTGCTGAGTATACAGGTTCATGACATTTAGTACATTCATACTATTGTGCAACTATTACCACTAGTTCCAAATGGTTTTATTATTCCAGACAGGAACTCTGTACCCATTAAATAATAACTGTCCATTCTTCCTTCCCCCTAATCTTGGTAACCTCCATTATATTTTTTGTATCCATGAATTTTCCTGTTCTAGATATTTCATATAAATGGAGGACACAGTATTTTGTCTCATTATGCATGGTCTATTTCATTTAGCACAATGTTTTCAAAGTTTATCCATGTTGTGACATATATCCATTCATTTCTTTTTATAGCTGAAAAATTTCTCTTATGCATATTTACATACATATTTGTTTATATATCCCCATAAATAACACATTTTGTTTATCCATTCACCTGTGGGTGGACATTTGGGTCGTTTCCACTTTTGAGTGACTGTACATGTTGTTGCTGTGAGCATTCCTATATGTACAAGTATCTGAGGCTCTGTTTTCAATTCTCTTGAGTATAAGTCTAGGAATAGAATTTCTGGAAAATGTGGTAATTTTATTAACTTTTGGAGGAGTCTCACTCACCTTTTTCAAATTTTGGAGGTCTTATGATATCTGCCAGTGCCTTAAATGCAATTAATGGTAGCATCTTGAATTGGCACCAGGAGCCTAATTCTACAATTACATAAAGATGTTGTTTGGAAACATATCTGAGCAAACAAAAGTAAAATTATAGCTTTCTTAACTCATTAAAAACTTTCTTCATCCCTTTTCAGCCTTTTACTATGAAATACTTAAAACATATGGAAAAGGATCAGGTTAATGAGCCCCATAGAGCCAGTTATCTAAGTTTTCCCACTTTTAGTTCATCCATCCTTTTTCCAGTTAGTTTTAAAAATGGAAATTTATCTTTGAAGCTTAGAAAATACAGAATGGTATAGAGGAGAAAATCTGTAATAATTCTGTCATTCCAGATCCACAATAATTTCCATCCAGGAGCTTTTCAAGGCACAGTGCTTGGTCTCTGTGTTACCACATTGTTACTTTTAGTGCTTCAGTTGTCATCTCTTTGAGCCAGTGGCTGCATAGGCTCTTCCCCACATAGGCAAAGAGTTCAGATGCCAGACACTGGTCTCAGTTCTCAGCAGCCAGCTGTATGGCTCTGATCCACAAATGGAGGCCGCTGGACTCACATTCTCAGGTCCCTTCGGAAGCTCTGATCTCGGATGTCTCCAGGGCCCATAGGCACACTTGACTCATGTCACCTCAGGGTGGGCCATGTGGGCTGATGGCTGCTTGTTTTCAGGTCAGAGTCCCCTTCATCCTCATGTGACTTCATCTTTCCTCTCCAGAGCAGGAAGAGAGGAGACGGGAGGCCGTGGAGCAGTGGCGGCAGTGGCATTATGATGGGCTGTACCCTTCCTATCTCTACAACCGCCATCGCATCTGACCCCATCCTGAAGCAACCCAGGAAGACAGAGCATGAAACATAGCTGCTCACCCGGGTGTACCAGCACCTCTTTCCACACAAATGCCCTAATAGGGACCTCAGCTTAGGGTGCGCTGTGGTCAACAACCCTGGTAAATACACATGCCTTTCATTCTGATGCATTAAATGTCCTGACTTTTGCTTTTTTGTGGATGATTTTCCAAGGTGAGCAACCACCTGTGGCTCATCCTAATCCCTAATCTTTGTTGGTTTCCCCTCACTTAGTCATTGTCCCCAAAGCAGATCTCCTGTCTGATTGGACAGGAGAATCACAGTTAAGAGAGAAATTTTGTGTTTGCTTATAGCTTACAAATAAAAACTCTGACTTAACCATATGTATTAGCATCTCAAGTCTCCAGTTGAGCAAGGTATAGACTTGATCCCCGCTCCCCCCAGTGACAAGGTTAATGTTGCTGACTTGGTTGTTAGAAAGTTTGTCCTTGGGAGTATCAATCACTCCTCTATTATGTCTCAGTAGTTAGTTATGTAAGTGAAAAAAATACTAATACATTTGTTTTGGTAAAAAGCCTTCAAAGGATTGCTGAGTCCAGGGACTTCCTTCTTCATCCCACCAAAGAGGGTTAAGGTTCATTCCTGATTTCTTAATTGCACCCTTCAGAAGCCACAGTTACATACAGTAAGGCCAGTTATATAAACAAAATGAGAAACCCTTGGTTGGCATCATCTCACTTTTCTTCATAGTGTCTTATATTTGTTTCCCTCTGCTGCCATTAACAGAGTACCACAAACTAGGTGACTTGAATCAATGGAAATTTATTCTCTCACAGTTCTGGAACTGAAAAGTCTGGAACCTTGATGTTGGCAGGGCCACGTTCCCTCCAGAGCTCTAGGGGTATCCTTCCTTGCTCTTCCTGCATCTGAGGGCACCAGGCATTCCTTGGCATATGGTGGCATGATGCCACCCCACCTCAGCATCATATGGCTGCCTCCCTGTGTGCTTTCACATCACCATCCCTCTCATGTATGTCTCATGTCTCTTCTTCTAAGGACACCAGTCATATTGAATCAAGGCCTCACTCTACTAACTTTGTCCAAACTTGATTAGGACCTAAAAACCCTATTTCCAAATAAGATCCCATTCACAGGGACTGGAGGTTAGGACTTCAATGTATTTTTTGAGGGGCACAGAATTCTATCCCTTCCTTTCCTCTCAACCACTTTGCTTTCTGGTCCCAGGCTCATTAACCCTATTCCCATTGTTGCTCCCCACTGACATCCAGAAATTGCACAATAAGAATGGCAAGGAGTCAAAACAACTTAAGTGGGCTCTGGAAGATAAAGAGGACTCTAGGTGAAGAATAAGCACCCACTCTTCCCCAGATTCCCATCTCACCTATGGGCCCTTGCTTCCCTCATGCCTGGGGTACCTGGTCAGCTAGCCCCCACCTGCTTTTGAGGTTGAGCTTCCAGGGCAATATAGGGTGATTTTATATAAGGGTTGCTGTAAGGAAATTTTACCTTCATGGTGGCAAAATATTCCACCAGAGCTAGGGTGATCTATCAGGTTAGGAGATTTTGTAAACAATGCATGTATTTTTAAGTTAGTTTTTAAAAAAGCCTATAAAGTCTTTTAAAAAGCTCTAATTATTCATAATGGATAATTGAATCTAATGTATGAAATATGATATATCAAGAGCTTTGTAATGTTTTGAACAACCAATAAAAACTCCAATTATTAAGTGATTTTGTGCCAGATTACCTCATATTTAACAATTAGTGCTATTATTTTCTTCCCACAAACTCCAAGAAAGAGCTAACATGACCTTGGGAAGATGAGGTGGGCAGTGGACAAACTCTCATACTAAATATATTTTTATCTTTTTTCAGTGCTGGGGACTGAATCTTGGACCTTGGTCATGCTAAACACATGCCCCATCACTGAGCTCTACCCCCAGTCCTATCATTAAATGCTGTTTGTTGTACAGAAAGATAGAAGGAACTCTAGGGTTCACAATTTGGAAACTAGAGCTTGAGGAAAAGTCAAGTCTCAGCATAAGAAAGGGCAAATGGCACTCTTTTTAGTGGCATAACTAAGGAGAATGTTTTGAGTTAGTCTTCTTTAACTGTGGCCCAGGTGTACCTTCCAGATACTTCTCTGTTGGATAACAGGTGCTCAGGAATTATCTGTGCTCCTGTTTTCCCTCTAAGGTCTATTTGATATTTATACCATTAGTGGCGGTACGGGGGGGTGAATCTTTGCTCCCTCCACATGTCATTGAACAGGCTAGACTTTGTTCACCCATTTCTTCATTAGTAAAATAGAAGAAATGTGAGTTGCAACTTTTATGCATTTCAAACTGGCTGCATCAAACTTCCCTGTGAAGAGATTAGGTGCTTACTATCACTGGGACATCTTTGCTAGTCTTTTTATAAAGCAAGCAAATTGAGAATATTTGCAGAAAAATTCATGGTTGGGGGCCCTTGAATTATTAACTATTTATGAATCCCCTTGGACCACTGCTGTTAGATTTAATCAAGTCAGACCTAAACAGGTGACTAGCGCTCACTCCTCTGTATGATCTGTGTATTTCTACCCTAACACCTTTGGACCTGGTGCAACAGAAAGTTTGTTTAGGAATTATAGTTGCTATAGTTTGGAGTTGGAAAGTCCACGAAAAGCCCATGTGGTAAAGGACATGTCCCCAGCTTGGTGCTATTGGAAGATGGTGGAAACTCTAAGAGGTGAGGCCTAGTGGGAGATCTTCAGTTGTGAACGTGTCCTTGAAGGGGATTGTGAGATCCTAGTCCCTTCCTCTTCCTTTCACTTTCCAGCTACAATGTAGGCAGTTTTGCTCTATTGCATGTCTTCCATGGTGTGCTCCTTGTCCAAAACAATGGGGCCAATCAGTCATGGACTGAAACATGACTGTGAGCCAACATAACCTTTTTCTCCTTGTAAGTTGCTTATCTCAGGTATTTGTTATAGAGATGGGAAACTGACTGACACCTCATTTCTCTCCACCCTCCCGGAGAGTGTCATTCTGGAAGAAACTGATATAAAATAAAAACTTGGAAATGCCTCAGCTTTTCATTGCTATTTTTACTCTGTTACCTGGTGAGACTGATATTACTTGGGAGGGAAAAGGATTTCAATGTTTTGAAGCATAAATCTCAACAGGAAGGAGCTCTGCTGCTTGCCTTCCATTGCCCCAGTCTCTGATCCAAACTAGAGAGAGCAATCAGTTTGAGTACAACCAAGATGAGAGATGTTCCTTCCTGAACTACTGGTCAAGAGCCACACATGAATCTCATTTGCTTCCTATCCCAGCCCCTAAAATGAGACAAAACTGGAGCATTAGCAAGTTAGTGAGGTACACTCCCAGCTCAAGGATATTCTAGGTCTGTTCTTTTGGGGCTGGAGCTCCTCAGCACTTAATCCATACCTAGATTAGACATTCTAAAGTAGCATGTGCCTATTCTAGATTGGCTATCAAGTGAAGTGGGTGAGGGTGAGTCCTCAGCTGGGTTGGCATGTGAGCACTGGTGTGGGTTTAGCTCAGGTGATCTCAGATTCTAAGTCTGAACTGCAGATTTTCTGGCCAGTGGTACAAGCAAGGATGAACTCTGGCCACATGCAATTGCCCTTGTGGTTCAGGAGTGTGATGGGCCTTGAGGATCCTACACCTGTAAGGCTGGTATTCTAGGACAACAAGGTGCTTTTTAAATAAATTATAGTTGTTCCTTGAAATCTGAGAGGGATCAGTTCTAGGACCCTCCTGGATACCAAAATCTAAACATGTATTCAAGTCCCTTAGGTATATGGCATGAATTTACATGTAACTTTCACATATCCTCTGGTATACTTTGAATCATCTCTAGGTTTATTAAAATATCAAACACAATGTAAATGCCAAGTCAAAACCTCTACTGTATTGTTTGGGGAATAATTACTATATAGACACAATTTTTTGGTCTGAAGTTGGTTCAATCTGTGAATACAGAATCTGTGCATACAGTAGGCCAACAGTATTTTTATTACTGTACAATATAAAAAAAAAAGCAAAGAACTGTTCTCACTTCAGCTGCAAATCAAAAGGAGCCAAAATCTGGTTCATATCAGTCAGGATAAAACAGCCTATGCCTTCTGGTGAGCCACCTGCCTCTCCCTTGTGCTAGTAAGCAGGTGGATGGCAGCAAATACATTCTGACTCAGGGCCACACCACACAGCCACCTGCCTGTTGTGTCTGTAGGAAGGAATGTTGGGGCCATACAGATGTCAAAACCAGAATAGTTTGGAGGAGAGATTGTTTAAAAACAGAACAAAATAAGTTTGTTCTTGCCTCTTCAGTGACCAAGCTTGGCAGGCTGGCTCTAAATAAAGAATTCTAGCAGAAAGGGGCTAAAGAAGAATTTGATTACTCGCTTGCTCCCATCCCTAACAAGGCCTCCATTATACTTCAGGGTTTTCAAATTTGGCCCAGAAGTCCTTAGCTAAAATCCAAGCAAAGTCATTTCCTTGGCTGGGAGAAGGATGCCAAATGTAACATGACCAGGAATTTGAGCAGCCATATTTAATAGGAAATTAATGACAGAAAAATTTGTATTTTTGGACACTGACCTTGTCCAAAGTGTGGCCTTTGGACATTCTTTTGCTTACTCTTCTGTTCTTTTACTACTATCCTGTTGTTCTTAATGTTCTTAAGGACTTCCAGGTAAGTGGTTGCAAACAAATTTGTTAAAGATTAAATTTGTTAATTTTTTATCACCAGTTTTACAGAGTGCCCCCCCTGACCAACCGAAGAATACTCTGTAGCTCAGTAAAGTGCATGCTTAGCATTCTGGAGGCCTTGGGTTTGATTCCCAGAACTAAAAACAATCGTGTGTGTTTCTGCATGCATTCCAGGGGAAATGTTGCAACTTCTTATCATCTGCCTTTATTTACTTAAGGTTTTTTGAAAAGAGATGATTATTTTTGTGAGTTCCAGAATGATTTTTAGTTTTTGAAGTCTTGTTAGGAGAAAGTTCCATTTCTAATTTATTTTCAATGATATTCTAATGCTCTCACAAGTTTTCTATAATTTAGAAGTTCTGTTTCAAGCTTGTAAAAATTTGTCTAAAAGCATATGGGTTGAATATTAATGTTCTAGTTCACAGTTGATAACTTTGGCATACTCTGTGATCCTATAACATATCAAGACTTAAAAAAAAATCCAAAAGATGTCTATTGAGATGATTTCCCGCTCACCTCAACTCAGGGTGCTTTGGGTGCTGCTTCCTCTTGAAGGACAACCCTCTAGTAAGCCTGGCTTTTCCTCCTATGGGTTGGCAAAGGACAGTGAAAAGGGCAACACCCAAAACTACCCTTTGTGTGGCTGAAGACTTATAGCATCCTGGGCCTGTCACATCCATGGAGGGGGAATGGGGCTCAGTGCTAGGTGCTCACCTCTAGAAAGGGCTGAAGGAGATCCTTTGTGAGAGGCATGATATCTTGGGAGGTTTGTCACTGCTGGAAAGCTTTGCCCCTTTCCATATTACCTTTTTTAAAAAATTAAAGTTTGAATACCTAGCATGTGTGAGGCCCTTGGGTTCAATCCCTAGCACCACACACAGACACACAATGTGAACAGGTAATCTCCATACATGCTTTCAAACTTACAAAGGACAGAAAGGAACACACTAGAAAGTACATCCCTCTTGTCTCCAAAGGAAACCATCAATCGCACATCTTGAGGATCCTGAAGGTAATCTGTGTACACCTAAGAATCTACAGAAACTTATTTTTATTTTTTAAACACTAAAATTCATTTTTGTCCAGTAATGCCTACTTTACCTATTGAACCATTTCTTTTTTATCATATAAAAAAGATGGTATAGTTAATTTATAGTTAAGCAGTTTTCAAAAAGTTTCCTACAGGAACAGCAATTTTTGAGGTTTGGGATATGGCTGGAAAATAACTGATATGAAAACTAAAGTGAATATATTTTCTAGACAACTCATTGATTTAGACACCATAATACTTTGTGGTCTTAAATATTACACTAGTTATTTTGAAATCTTTCAGTGTGTAGACTCCTGTCCTTAAATCTTTCCCCAAGTAAAAACAATAACAACAATGTCATTATTATAAAGCACTGGCCTTACAAAAACAATTTCTTTCTTTCTTTTTTTTTTTTTGATAATACTTGTGATTGAACCCAGGGTCTCACACATGCCAGGCAAGTGTTCTATCACCGAGCTACCTTCCCAATTCCATCTGGTTATTCTCAGGCAGGGGCTTGCTAAATTGCTGATAGGCTTTGAACTTGTAATCCTCTTACATCAGCCTCCCCGGAAGCTGGGATTACAGGTGTGCACCACGGTGTCCAGCAAGCTTGTGATGTTATCAGCTCATGGTTGATCATTCATGCACTCAGCAGAATTATGGCACCAAGAGGCAAGATATTTAATATTCTGTAAATTGATTTACATGAGAAACTGTCGCGACCCCCCTTGCCCACAAGGAAGACGCGACTCAGGAATCTTCTTTCAGCAGTTTATTCAGGCCCTTGATATTCTTCTAATAATTCTTCTACTACTACTACCTCGGATGCCCCTCCCAGCCTTAATAAAGCACCGCGAACCCCAATGCAAAGCTGCCACGTGTACCCTTCTCACAGGGTGCTAGAAAATGACACGCCAACTTTCTCTGATAAGGAGCTGGGAACACGCCAACTCTCTTTGATATGGAGTTGTCCTTCACAGACCACAACGGAGCCAGCGCCATCATGTAATGGCGACCACAGTCCGCAGGAACGGCTCACCACAAGAAACAATCTAATTACACCATTAGATAGCTCTCCTGAAGTCATTATTGAAAAAAATAAAATAGTACAACTTTTAGTGAGGACAACCTTTCTTATGCCTTTAACACATGAACAAGTACCTGTCATAGTTTGGATCTTCAGTGTCCCCTAAAGGTCCCTATGTTAAAGACTTGGGTTCTAGCCTGGTGTGATTGGGATAAATTTTCAGAGGTGGAACTAGTGGGAGGTCTTGGGTCACTGGGGTTGTGCCACTGAAGAGGACTGTAGGACTCTGGTCTCCTCTTCCTCTTTTTTTGCTTCTCAGCCATGAGTTGGTTTTGCTCCAACATGCAATCCCAACATGATACACTGCCCTGCCACAGGCCCCAAAAGAATGGGGCCAACCATCCTCCAAAACTGAGCCAAAATAAACCCTTTTTCTTTATAAATTGGATATCTCAGGTATTTGTTATAATGATGGAAAACTAACACAGTACCTGAATAACATACAACTAGACAATACTTCCATTTTGATATATTTGCTAATTATGTAAAAATAAATCAGAATAAAAAACCCAGGAATTTACTAAACCCAGTACTTGAAATGTTCTCTCTCAAGGTCAAACCCACTGTGCTCAGCTGATTACATCACTGGGGAATTATGACAAGAAAAAAACCAGACTATTTTCATAGATCTTCTGCCCAACATTACTCAAAATACTTTCATGATACTTAATGGTGAAAGAAAGCACTTGTATCCAGAATATACATAACTCAATCCAATAATTAAAAAAAATATATAAATGGATGAGTAGACATATGTCATAAAGACACATGAGGCTGGGCATGGTGGCAAAAGCCTATAATCCCAGCAGCTTGGGAAGCCAAGGCAGAGGGACTGCAAGTTCAAAGTTAGCCTAAGCAACTTAGCAAGGCCCTGAGCAACTCAGCAAGACTCTTGTCTCAAAATAAAAAGGTATAGGGATTAAGCTCTATGGTTAAGTGGCCTGGAGTTAAAAAAACAAAAACCAAAAAACAAAACAAGGACATGAATGGACAGTACATGAAAAGATGCTCAAATAGTATTGGTTACCAGGGAAATGCAAACCAAACCATAATAAGATGCCATTACACACACATCAGAATGGCTAAAAAGACAATATCAGGTATTGGGACAGTGGAGCAAACGGAACCCTTGCACATTACCAGTTGGTGTATAAAATGGTACAACCACTTTGGAAAACAACTTGGCAGTTTCTTATGAAGCTTCCCATATAACCCAGAAATTCCACTCCTAGGTGTTTGCCTGAGACACAAAAATACTTCTATTGCTAAAATAATTTTAGCAGTTTTATTCATGATAGCCCCAAACTAGGGACAATCCAATCCATTATGAATATCATCAGGTGAATAAACAAACCATTTACAGGGAAGCCAGCAATAAAAAAGAAAAAAAAAACATTGATAACACACTATAATATGGATAAATTTAAAAAATTATGCCACATGAGAGAAGCCAGATATCAAAGTATGTTCTGTAAGATTCCATTTATCTGAAACTAGAATATAAATCTGTAGGGGCTGGGATGCAGATTGATTGGCAAGAGATTCAACGCTACCTTTTGGAGGAGAAAGCAACATCTTGCTTTAGGTTTGTAGTGTGGCTACATGGGTATAAACACTTGTTCCAATTTTTCAATTGTACACCTTAGGTATGTGCCTTTTACTGTATGTAATCTATACCTTAATATAATTGATTTTTAAAAATATTGTTAGCTAAGTCTTTGCTTAAGAAATCTTACTATGGCTGGGGTTGTAGCTCAGTGGTAGAGTGCTTGCATCACATGCATGAGGCCCTGAGTTCAATCCTCAGCACCACGTAAAAATAAATAAATAAAAATAAAGATATTGTATCCATCTACAACTAAAAAAAATTAAAACAAACAACAAAAAAAGAAACCTTCCTAAACTTGGTTCAAATAAGTCTCAGCCCTTATTTCTAAATTACTTAACCAATTTCTAATCTGCAAAATAGAGTATACCTGGATCTGGTCGTATTTGAGGAAATACTATATAGTCATTGGTTATTTGTGCTTCAATGTTTGCAAATTCACCTAATTTGATTTATAGCTTCTAAATCAGTTCTTCAAGTGCTTCTGTGATGACTTGCATGCAGAGTAACGTTCTTCATTTTCAAAATTTAGTTAGGCCTTTTTTACAAATTGTCATCAACCTAATAAGCTAACTGATCTCTTCTACCTTTAATGCCACTTAGTTTGTGGCTGCTAGTGACATACTTAAGCAAACAGATCTATGCTCCAGATTAGAACAAACAAACGTCATTAGAATGTCATTTGCCTGTTATAAACAGCATCAAGCTTTTCTTTTATCATGAACTTTTCCACAGAAATCCAGTCCATGTACTCTCTTCCTTGTCCAATGTGAAGCTTTTCATATTTTAGGTTCCCTTTGGGGAAAATTCTACACCAGCCATTCAGAAGTTCCTTATTTGCTATTCTGAATGATTTTTACCTAAAATACTTGTTTTATTTTTGTTGTTTAGAAAGGGAAAACATTTTATCATTATAAAACTCAATGAAAGGTGATTTTCTATTAAAAAGCCAAGTTTTTTTCCTCCAAAAGGAAAAATGCACAACAAGAATACCAAAACCAACCAACCCCCCCCATAAAATCAAAACAAACAAACAAACATACAAATAAAAACTATTGTGAAAATTATAATCTTCACACCAAGTTCTCCATAAAGGACAAATGGCTACTGCTCAACCCTGCTCTGAAGGCCTGTGATGACACAATACCCTACTAATGACAGGTTAAAAAAAAAATTAACACCTGTTAGGTTTGTGTGAAAGCATTTAATACATGTTGATAAACAGGATTAAAAGACTGATCTCATTAGGAATGTTTTCAAGGCCTACAAGTAAGTTCCCCCACCTGTGCTGTACCCCTGGCCCACCCACTCATTGCTCAATGTTCTAAACACCTCAAAGGAAAGCCCTCCAAGATTTAGTGTAACTAAGGAGTAACTCCAAAAATTTATGTGAATGCAGTAATGCAGTCATCTAAAGTGAGAACAGGAAAGATGAGGACATCTTGATTTTCCACCTGTAAGTCAAAGTTATATTTGGTGTAAAATTAATACAACAGAGGAAAGTAATTAAGGAAAGTGGATGGGCTTATTAACAAGTTTTTGTTTCTAATGGTGTCAATCAGCAATATGGGCAATGCAGAGCCAGTCCCTTGCTTTTCCAGACCCACAAGAAGCAAGACAGGTTGTGAAAAAAATATCTGAAGTTAGGGTCATTTAAGGCTATTCAGAAATTTAGCATGTTCTTTTCCTCTTGGCAATAGGGTTTCTCCTCCAATCTTTGGACCAGTCTTTTCCTAGAAAAATGAGAACACTTAATAAGAACAGGCTTAACATTATTTCCCTGGATCACTAAAATGAGTCACAAATTAACACTGAAGTAATCCACCCCTATAGTTGGATCTAATATGCACCCCAAAGACCCACATGTTTAAGACTTGGTTCTCAGCATGGCACTGCTGGAGGTGTGGAACTTTTAAACAGATGGGGCATAACAGGAGGTCATAGGTCATTGGGGTTGTGCCTTTGAAGGGACTATGGAACCCAGGCCTCTTCTATTTCATTCCTAGCCTTGAGGTAAATGGGCCTCCTCTGCCATGTATTCTTATCACAATGTGCAGTTTTACCACAGGCCCCAAAACAATGGGGCCAACTAGCCATGGATTCAAATCCCTAAAACTGAGCTGAAATAAATCTTTCCTCTTTCTCAGTTGATTAGCACAGTGGTTTGTTATAGTAACAGAAAGCTTATGAAAACACCTACCTTTAGCATTCCATCTCATTCCCATTTGTAGAGGCCACAATTACTGAAAGAGAAAAGATGGATTTACTCAGTGGTGAGGTATATGCCAACACACTTAAATACAATGGGGCTTACTGTGTAATTAAAGAGGAAAAAACCATAGGAAATTATCTATGTACTTTTAAGGTGGGGATGGGGTAAGAGAAAAAGAAAACTAGAAAAACAATAAAAACCATAAAAGTACAAAGCTGTGAGATTAAAAAAAATTCCCTATTGATTCAACTTATAAATCAATAGTGTGGGAAGAATATATTTACAATGATTAAAAATTATATGGGACTGCTCTTGCCCTCCACTGAGCCAGCTGCCCGAAGGAAGCTGAATTTCTGTTGCAGTTTGGCGAAAAGACTCCCACATAAATGGCTTGAGGAAGTTCAGCAGAGGAGAGATAATGAAAAAAAGATAGAAGATAGTGGAGTAGAGAAGAACTTGTTACTGGCATGACTTCGTGTGAGTGGTCGGACGCTTTTCAGCATAGGAGCCATTCATAAATTTAAGCTTCATGGAGTTTGTGACAGGATTTTAAGTAGCGGTTTGTTACAAGGGCAGCCAAAAACTTGAAAATACCCCGAGTAGTTCTGTGCGCAGAAGCCGGCCAGGAGCAGCGGGGCCTGGGAACCAGCTGCAGATGGGTGAGGCAAGCGCAGTGGAGTTCTGGCAGCATAGAGACACAGGCTCACAGATCCTTTAAGATCAGAGCGCGCCAGACTGTGACCCCAGGTCTCTGCAGGGCACCAGACTGAGGACAGAACTCAAGGCATAGTGGATAAACATCCTAGCCCCCCACACCTCACTGGACACCCTGGTGCCGAAATGGGCGGTTGCCATCTTGGAAAATCTACCGCATCAGCTTTTGGCAGATGTAGCAGAACAGGGAGATTGGCAAATGAACAGGTGTGTGATACCCAGCACCCTCTCTACCCAGCTGTGATAACTCAAAACCTTTTTTGTCAGCTCTCAGGTAGGCATGAATTTCAGATGGGAATGAATTTCAGAGCCCAGTGAAACTGAAAAGGTGCCAGATCTCCCCCTCCCCCCCAGCTGTGATAACCTGAAACCTTACTCTCCAACTCTTGGTGGGCATGGCTATCAGAGAGAATACAGACAGAACAGGTTGCCCGTGTCCAACTCACCCTCTCCACAGCTGTGAAGACCTGGTGACTCCCCAACACAGAGGTAGTCCCCAGTTGATCAGGAGCGCGGGGTGGCCAGGGCGCCATAAGTCCAGAGTAACCAAGGGCTGCAGAAAAGAGTCCCAGTATTTGGGGCCTGGTGGGCAAGAGAAGTGAGGGGGATAGAGACCGGGATTGGAGAGGCACCCAGCAGGGGAGGGAGAGCCGCCCCACATGGATTGCTTCCTATATCCTGAGGGCAGAGACTCAACCTGGAATGCACAACACCACCTACCGGAAGAGAAGAAAATAGAATTCTAAGAGTGCATTATTTCTTTCCTTTCTTTTTCCTTCTTTCCTTTTTTCTTTTTATCTTTCTCTTCTCTCTTTTTTCATTCCTTTTTCTCTTTCGCTTCCCTCCCCTTTTTTCTTCTTCTTTTCTTTTTACTTTTCTTCCTCCTTCTCTTCCTCTCCCAACCTTCCAAGTGTTACTACTTCTACTACATGTAAACTACTAAATGCAAATAGGTGATTGTTTCTATGCTTCTTATTGTCCTCCCATGTACTTAGCCATCCTGAAATACCTCCTGTCTATTCTCCTGTTAATAACCCCCTTCATTAGAGTTCTCCTCTAAAGTAGCTAAGATATATTAGGCCCCATACCCTCACATCTTTTCCCCCTAAACATAAAGTCTTATGACTGACTCTCAGTTCTCTATACGTCACCAGAATCTGTATGCCTTTTATGAAGCTAATGAATATACTGTAAACTATAATTGAATCCAACATCTCTAGACATTGTTTCCCATCACAAAGGAGAGATCTCGGAACTATTCAAGAGCAATACAAAATTATAGGAGAGAAATAATAACACAACAGTCAAACAGAGCTGGAAAGAAGCATGAGCAACATGAAAAAACAAGGAAAAAAAGGGCCACAAACAATGCAGGACAACTCAAAAATAGAGGAGATAATAGCTGCAGCAAAAAAAAAAATGTCAGATAAAGATTTCAAGATATACATGGTTCAGATCTGGAGTCTTAAGGAGGACTTTAGACAGCAAATGCAGACAATGAAAGATCACTTTGACAATAAAATACACAAACAAATCCAATAAGCAAAAGATCAACTCTACAGGGAAATAGAGGTTATACAAAACAAAACAAAACAACAACAACAACAAAAAATAGAAATCCTGGAAATGCAGGAAATAATAAACAAATTAAAAACTCAAATGAGAGTATCACAAGCAGAGTAGAACACTTAGAAGTCAGAACATCAGACAACGAAGACAAAGTATATCATCTCGAAATGATAGCTCAGAAAGGCTGATAAGAAACCATGAGCAGAACATCCAAGAAATATGGGATAGCATAAAGAGACCAAATTTAAGAGTTACTGGATAGAGGAAGGTATAGAGGTCAAAACCAAAGGAATGAGCAATCTCTTCAATGAAATAATTTTAGAAAACTTTCCAGACATGAAGAATGAAATGGAAATCCAAATCCTAGAAGCCTACAGGACACCAAATGTACAAAACCACAAGAGACCCACACGAAGACACATAATAATGAAAATGCTGAACATATAGAACAAGGAGAGAATTTTAAAAGCCACAAGAGAAAGGAAGCAGATTACATTTAGGGGTAAACCAATTAGGTCAACGGTGGATTTTTCAACACAGACTCTGAAAGCTAGAAGATCCTGGAACAATGTATTTCAAACGCTGAAAGATAATGGGTTCCAATCAAGAATCTTGTATCCAGCAAAATTAAGCTTCAGGTTTGAGATGAAATAAAAACTTTCCATGATAAACAAAAGTTAAAAGAATTTGCAGCTAGAAAACCGGCACTTTAAAGCATCATTGGCAAAACATTACATGATGAGGAAATGAAAAATAACAATGCAAATCAACAGTGTGTGGTAGTACATTAAAGGAAAAACTAATCAAAGAGGAAAAACAAATCAAGTTAAATAACAAAAATAAAAAAATATGGCTGGAAGTACAAACCATAGCTCAATAGGAACCCTAAATGTTAATGGCTTAAACTCACCAATTAAAAGACATAGGCTAGCAGACTGGATTTAAAAAAAAAGATCCAACAATATGCTGCCTATAGGAAACTCACCTGATAAGAAAAGACATACACAGACTGAAGGTGAAAGATTGGGAAAAATCATACCACTCACATGAAGCTCAGAAGCAAGCAGGGGTGTCCATACTCATATCAAATAAAATAGACTTCAAGCCAAAGTTAATCAAAAGGAATAAAGAAGGACACTACATACTGCTAAAGGGAACCATTCACAAACAAGACATAACAATCATTAATATATATGCCCCAAACAATGGTGCAGCTATGTTCATCAATCAAACTCTTCTCAAGTTCAAGAGACAAAGAGACCACAACACAATAATCATGGGTGATTTTAATAAACCTGTCCTACCACTGGACAGATCATCCAAACAAAATTTGAATAAAGAAACTATAAAACTCAATAACACAATTAATAACTTAGACTTAATTGATATACATAGAATATATCAACCAACATCAAGCAGATAAAATTTTTTTCTCAGCAGCACATGGATCCTTTTCAAAAATAGACCATATATTATGTCATAGGGCAACTCTTAGCAAATACAAAGGAGTAGAGATATTACCATGCATTTTATCCGATCATAATGTAATGAAATTGGAAATAAATGATAAAACAATGAAGAAAAATTCCTACATCACATGAAGAATGAACAATATGCTACTGAATGAACAATGGGTTACAGAAGACATCAAGGAAGAAATTGAAAACATAGAAACAACATATTGACTCTCTGGGACACTATGATAGCAGTACTAAGAGGAAAGTTCATTCCTTAAAAGAGGAAAAAGCCAAAAAATAAATGACCTCACACTATATCTCAAAGCCCTAGAAAAGGAAGAACAAATCAATAGCAAATGCAGTAGAAGGCAAGAAATAATTGAAATCAATGAAATTGAAACAAAAGAAACAAAAAAATTGACAAAACTAAAAGTTGATTCTTTGAAAAATTAAATAAGAACGACAGACCCTTAGCCATGCTAACGAAGAGGACAGAGAGAACCCAAATTACTAGCATACAGGATGAAAAAGACAATATCACAACAGATACTACAGAAATACAGAAGATAATTAGAAATTATTTTGAAAGCTTATACTAAAATAAAATAGAAGATAGTGAAGGCATCGATAAATTCCTTAACTCATATAATCTATCCAGATTCAGTCAGGAGGATACACACAACTTAAAAAGATCAATATCAAGTGAGAAAATAGAAGAAGCCATCAAAAGATTACCAACCAAGAAAAGCCCAGGACTAGACGTAATACAGCCAAGTTTTATAAGACCTTTAAAGAAGAACTAATACCAATACTCTCCAATCTATTTCAGGAAATAGAAAAAGAGGGAGTACTTCCAAACTTCCAAACTCATTCTATGAGGCCAATATCACCTTGATTTCAAAACCAGACAAAGACACCTCAAAGAAAGAAAACTTCAGACAAATATCTCTAATGAATACAGATGCAAAAATCCTCAATAAAATTCTGGCAAATCGGATACAAAAACATAACAAAAAGATCATGCACCATGATGAAGTGGGATTCATCCCTGGTATGCAAGGTTGGTTCAACACACGGAAATCAATAAATGTAATTCATCACATCAACAGACTTAAAGAACCACATGATCATCTCGATAGATGCAGAAAAAGCACTTGACAAAATACAGCACCCCTTTATGTTCAAAACACTAGAAAAACTAGTGATAACAGGAACTTACCTCAACATTGTAAAAGCTATCTACGCTAAGCCTCAGGCCAGCATCATTCTAAACTGAGAAAAACTGAAGGCA